AAAAGAACATTTATTTTTTTTTTGAATTTTTTAAAAAAATCTTTTTTGCTTTTTAAAATTTTTTTTTTAAAAAAAAAAAAAAAAAAAAAAAAGCAGCCTAATTTTGTTAATTATAATTATTTTTAAAAGGGTAAAACATCCAAAGGGGATGAATACTTTTTACATGCACCTGACAGACTGGGAAAGTTATTTTTTAAAAAGTAATGTAACCATGTTGTAGATTAGTGTGTCTCATTTTGCTTTAAGGGAAGCAAATCCAGAAAGCGGACGACAACACAAGGCACTGTAGGTGAAAACAAACCATCTTCAGCCACAGCTGGCCACAACTGAAACATCAAAGTAGCTCAGGTCGTATTTTTCAGTCTCACCGTGCTCAGAGTCGGTCAGCAAGAAGACGTCAGGATGTTCCGGATCGTCGGCCATCATGGCCATCAGACCCACCACGCACACACTCTTGCTGGATGTGGACTTAAACTGGCAGGAGGACAAATAAAATGGACTCGGTTAGCTTTTGCACAATGTGTCGAAATGTGTTACATGCAGCAGGAGATCAGAAGCCGACACCCTCCATAAAATCACCTCCGGATGAGAATAAAAACATGGAACTACGACTGCATCAGGAAAACAAGAGGAAACTGCATGACTAGTGTTTGCATTCTCTGTAGGTTCTAGTTATTTTAGGGTAAATATCTTAATATTAGGACCAAACACTATGTAATTATCACATTTAACATTATGTGCTTTAAGTGAAAACACTTCTGTTTGTCAAATATGATTTTAAAGGTTTTTAAAGTCATATCAGGTTTTTAAAGGTTCCCCATAGAGAAAATACTAAACAGAAGTTGGATGCATGTAGGAGAATGATTTACCGTACAGATTATTGGGATACACAGTTTGTGAGGACTCCTGCTAAACTATTCAACCATAGCAAATGAGATGCAGGTAGTTTTATTCCCTGTATGCTCTCCGTCATTTCTGTACTTTCCTAAAAATCACTTATTAACAGAGGAAGCCTCTAAAACAGTGGTTCTTAACCTTTTTTGAGGTAACGAACCCACCAGTTTCATATGCGCATTCACTGAACCCTTCTGTAGTGATAAATAAAATATGATTTTTTTTCCCTCCAAATTCAAGACATAGGGTTGGGTGACTGACCCAACTAGTATCTAGTTGGGTCACCCCATGATCACTAAGTCTTCTTAAAAGGTAGAGTCTCTGAGAAAAGTTCTTCAAACTTTTCAGTGTTTTCAGCAAAGTTGAGCTGACTGTCCAGGAACAACCCAAATTTGCCACAGTTTCAACAGGTTGGCCATCGAGAGAAACTGGAACCACTTTCAGGTCTTATTTAGATAATTTAATTAGCTCTACATTCTTAAGAGAATGAAAAATTAATAATAAATAATAAAAACTTTGCGGTATTCTGATTTAGTAATGTAATTATATTAGTTGTGTTACCACCCCCACGCCACTAGAGGCAGTAGCAACCCCGAAAAGATGTGATTGAGGAGCAGATTTAGAAGTCCAGTGATTTTCGTGGGGGTCACGTTCCGAAAATAACCCACGATAAGTGAAATCCGCGAAGTAGTTGCCTTTAGTTTTTACAATTATTATTCAGCATAATTAAATACTCTACATTGAAACCAAAGAACAAAACCTGTTCATCAATCCGGCCTTAATGTGATCTGGAGTCGTGTCATTAAAGCGTCTCCTCCAACCTGCCCAGCGAAATTCACAGCTGTATCTACGGCAGAGCGATGGATCTCGTCAACCGAGCCTCCAGTCGGTTTTGCGCTGATTCTGGCCACAGATTTTTCCAGCAGGAATTAAAAGATTTCAGCTTTCATCAACTGAATGGCCAAGCTGTATTACTTATATTTAAATACCGTAACGTTATTGGCACACAGGGAGAGAAGGATCTCGGAGACTGTTGAGCCAATCAGGACGCAGAGCACAATGCACTGTGGAAAAAAACTGCACAAAAAAATCCGCGAAGCAGCGAGACCACGAAAGGTGAACCGCGTTATAGCGAGGGATCACTGTACACCGAAAGCTACAGAATTTGGTAAAAACTGTGAGCTTTGTTGAAGTAATTAAAGACACAAGTTCAAATCCATACTGAGAGTGGAACTCCTTGGCTCAGCAATGTAACGTGATCCTCTGCAGCAAGTGATGGCAAAGCGTTGGCGCGTCATCACGACTTTACACGTGTCTTTACCTCCGCGGCAGAGGCTCCGCCGAACCCTTGAGACCGACTCATCGAAACCTTGGGGTTCGATCGAATCCAGTTTAAGAACCACTGCTCTAAAAGCTCAAACTGGAGCGGAAGAATTACTGACAAAAGCTTTGCGTGAAGCCACTTTGACACAGCTCCTATCATCTTCTGCGTGCAAACTACGACCGGTCACTTCCCACGAAGCCTCTGGACATCTTGTCCACTCGGCTGTTTCCTTCTCCCACCTCTCGGTTTTACTGAATCTTTCCTTCTTTCAAACTACCGAGCAGAACGATCCGGTGCATCACGCAACATCTTGTTAAACAGCTTAAAAAGGAAGAAAGAAAGAAACAAAGGAAGAAAGAGAGAAAGAAAAAAGGATGTAGCTTTTTGCCTTTGTTTTCTGTTAGCAAGAACAAGCAAAAATGTTTTTCTCTGAGTTCATCGGGTAATTAAGCTGTTTTTAGAGGTGCACAGGTAATGATCATCATGTGTTCACTCCTTATAAAATACACAGGCGCCTTTGGAGCATTCTTCGCACAACTGCAGCTCATATGGAGAACGAGGCTCTGTGCTGTTTGTTGCCCTCGTCTGCCAAAACAACTGAAATGACCTCGAGCAGCGCTCTCAAAAACGCAACTGAAGGACTCGGTACGACTTACATGCTTCCTCTCTGTGGCCTTCAGGGACTTGGCAGGGTAGTAGTAAAGCTGAGTTCCACAAAGCGCCACCCAGTATTTGGTCCAAGATGCCACCTGGACGCACAGACACATATTAAGATGAACCCAACAGTGAATAAGTAGCTTCATTTAAAAAAAAAAATTAAATCAAAAAAATACATATGCTCAGAAATGTACGTAAATGTATGTAAAAAGAAAAGGAACCCAAAAATTATTAGTTGAATGATTAAAAGGAGATTTTTGCAAAATAATTTCATACATTTTCAATGCATGAGAATTTTAAGTACATGTCTTTCTTCCAGATAAAGTTTTAAATAGGAATCATTTCTGTGACTTAAATGTTTCTCGGCTAAAGATCACTGGAGTGAACATGAAACAGTTTTCAGATGAGGATTTCACTTACAAAGGGAGAAACAAAGAAATCCAAACCAACCTGATCCTACGTGCTACTAAACATAATATCTGCCATTTAAATGTGATAACTAATGAGTATGTGAAAATGTAAATTAACAACAGGTGCCATTGCAGTAATATGGAGAACGTTATTCTCCATATTAGCCTTTAACATGGTTGTGGGGAAAGGTTGGCTCGCTCTTCAGCCATATTGAAGAGTTTGCCAGGAAAACAAGATGTCAAAGTTAATCGTTTTATCATAACAAGTCCAGGCTTTAACCAAGCTTCTCGCATAACTTATTTTTGGTACATGGATCGTTGTTCTGCTGGATCAGGTCTACGTGTGCTTAATGTCACAAACTGATAGACTTTCTCCTGTAAGATCTTCTGCTAAACAGGAGAATGTACAACTTCACTGATTATTGATTACCACTCGTCCAAGAGCAGAAGTAGAAAACAGTCCCTGAAATCTGCTACCAACACCACGATTCTCTGAGTAATTTTGTAATCTGGTCAATCACTGAAGCCATATAAATTACTCTGTTTATTCTCTGCTCTTAAATTTATTTGTGCTGCTTTAGATATCTTTTCCTACTTTGTTTTGTCAGATTAGTCCTGTTCAAGTAATTTTTTCCCCCCAGCAGGCCTGCCAATAATCAGGCCTGGATATCGCAGGTGGAACTGGAGCAAAAAAATTAAATAAAAAATAAAATAAAAAAAGTTATGGAGGTTTATATATTTTCCAATAGTGCCAGGCTGATTTAGACAGATTTATCCCTTTACAGTCATAATCTGATGCTTTTTGCTTTTACTCAGGTTATCTCCGTCATGCATTAAAATCTGTTTGATGATCTGATACATTTAAGTGTAACAGACATGCAAAACCAGAAAAACACCTGATCTAATTTCATAGTGTTGCACAGGGAGCAGAGGTATTCAGCAGATCATATTCTTTCTGCACCCGTTCTACACATCTAGCTTTTACTACCCAGGTGTTTCTGTATCAAGTTTTTAAATATAAAGAGCACATGGATGCACACTGCATGCTCCTGATTTAAATGACCGTATAGAGCATGTTCTCACGGTTGGTTTCTTGCCCTCTTTGAGCACGGTCTTCCGCTTCAGCACCCCTTGGACGGTGACGGCTCCGGGGTAAAGGTGAACGGCAAGTTCCTCCGACTCAGCCGAGCTGCAACAGAACAGAGACAGACATCACACGCTGTATAACCAGAGTCCCATGCATCGCCATGCAGAACAACGAACCAGAATAAAACCGGAGAGAGACCAGCAGTAAAAGCAGAAACAATCTGCACAGCTACCTCTAATCCAGTCTCTACGGAACTGTAACGTTTTTATGGAACATTTTTCTGTCCGCCTTTGACAGAACTGATATTTCACAGATGTAAATCTTAACGCTACCGTTTGCGGAGGCAGGAAAAGACGTGGGTAAGGTGGTGTGCAGGTTGTGTCTGTCTGGAGGATCAGAGCAGGAAACTCAGTGAAGAAGGCTGACAGATATAGAGAACCACGTCCAGAACCACGAGCTTAAATATTCACCCTACAAGAGAAATATATGGAAGCAGAAAGCAGCTGTGGCCACTTTATAACATTATTGTTACTGTAACGAGTTTTGTTATGTCATATTGACAGATTCTAAGCACACGATGGAAAAACATTCGATGAGGTTCGTCTTTAATTCAGTTTAATTCGTTAACCCTTGTTTGCTCTCCAGAGCTTTCCAGGGTTCCTACAGCTTATGTCATAGCTTCCAGGGTTCCCAGTCCTTTATTATTCATTGTAAAACAAAACTGTGAAGTTCACTGTGAATTTTTGGACAGATCCATACAGACAGAGCGCGAGCTAGCTAGCAAGGTAGCTAGATGACTAGCTAGCTAGACAGACGGTCAGATCCATCTATCTTGCTAGCTATCTATCTAGTTAGCTAGCTAGATTCCAGATTTTTTTCATATTTTCCCAGACAGAGTAAGAAACCAGCCTCTCTGTGGCAACACCTGCAGATAGCTGTGACGGTGCATTTAAGGACTAATCGTTAACTACATAACTCATAACAAACTTGCTTTAAAAACGTTATTTTCTTATTGCCAACAGACAACTTCAAGGTAGTCCAGCTAAAAATGTCCAAAATTTAACAATGTGAGGTTTGATTACTTTGGAATATCATCACAGGACAGCATACTGATGTGGTCAAATTATTGAATTTTGTGCATCCATATTTTTAAATCTTAAACATAAGTTTTAAGCATAATTGGATTTCTGTAATTCTCAGGATTAATTTGTATAGACAGATGTGTGTTTTTGATTGCTGAATTGGAGATTTCAGTCAAAGCTTTGACAGCCAGAGGAATTCTGCTATAAATTTTAAAGCTGTCTGCAGTGAAGTTTGTTCTATCATTTGATAGTTTTCGCTTTTTGAGCAAGACCGCAGTGAAGTTTTCTGACGGCAACACGAGATGAATCTTTTATAGCCAATTTAGTACGAATGATGTAGTTTAGTGGTGGTAATTAAATGCCCCGTCACGGCTAGTCTGTATTTGTAGCCACATAACGCTCTGCGGAAGAGCAAACATGTCGACACCAAATCACTGAGATGAACAGAAGGGAAGGATCAATGTTTTATCGTTTTTTTTTTGGACTAATAAACATTCATCTCCAGTCAAACATCTTACCATAAAAAAATTAATTTTCTTTCAACATGGAAAATATGTTATTTTCCATTAATGAGATTTCAAGAAAAGCACATAAAAAATAACAGCAGTGACGGCCGGTTTCTGCTTCCGTAGGAATGTCTTCACTGATTCTCTTCGTTTCTCCATCAGCAATCAGGATCTACTTTGTGTCCATTAACATGAGTGCAGCATGTCTGCAGGGATTCATTATGGCTCCAAGCTGTACAATACTAGGAAGATCAGAACTGATGCACAAGATGTTTTTCTCCCCCCTTCAAAAGCTTTAAAGTAATTTATTACCAGATAATTTAAACATAATTCTTCAACCTAGAAGTGGGCGATGTGACAGAAATATTAATGCCATCAATTTCCCGCAAATTCACTATCATGGTTTTCTCTCAATTTTCCAAGAACCCCCCCCCGCCCCCCAAATATTTAAAAGAGCTTACAGGTGAAAGAACATTTAAAAAAAAAAAAAAAAAAAAGATTTTCATCCAATTTGTGCAATTTTGTCAACTTCTATCAACCACGACTCAAACTGAAAAAGCAGTCAGCCTCAGGCTGCAGAGCCAAACTCAAAGCCTGCAGTTTAATCAAAAAGGTAAACAACACCACTGAGGTAAATCTCATTCCAACTGTTTAAAGCCGGTTTTATGAATCCAAAGCCGAAAGCTGCTTTAAGTTGCAATGAACAGATTTGCCTCACACAGGGTCCAACACTGTGCTGTAAAAAAAAAAAAAAAAGAAGTATTCAACCCTTGACAGATTTATTTAGTTTTTGCTTTTTTGTCAAACTGAAATGTTTCAATCAAACAGATGTTAATATCAGACAAAAATGACAAAACGCAGTTTTCAAATTATGATTTAAGTTATTAAGGAGGCAAAGAAAAAAAAACAGTGGAGAGAATAGCAAAAACAACATCTCTGATGTCAGTTTTATATATATATATATATATATATATATATATATATATATATATATATATATATATAAAATAAATAAATATTAAATAAATATAAAAAAACATTTCCAGCTCTGCCACTGGACAGAGTTGTTGAAAATTTTTTATTTTTCAACAAAATCAAAAACCTTCTGTGATAATTGATCAACAATACGATAAATGCCCACCTGCTAGTAAGATATGATTATATTGTATTTACTTTGACATTAAAACTGGTTTGACGTCACTAAAAGAAGGAAAATCTGAAAAATCTGTAAGAAAGAAAATATTTTTCACAGTATAAAATCAAACGTTTACTGCCATTTATTTCCAAGTTGTTGTCAATATAAAGGGAGAAAAAGATTCATTAGATCACATCTGCAAATTGTATCATATTCTATGTTTTACAGCAGTTTTCTTGTTAATTTCTCTGCTGCTGTAATCAGGCCAGATTTGGCAGATAAAATGTTTTGATAACTTTATCACATCGCCCACTTCTACTTTAAGCTGCAGCTCTAGTCATCCTGTCTGTTCAAAGCTATCGGAGGCCCACGCCTCCATTTTAACCCCCCAACCATGTGTGTGTGAGTGACAGACATGCAAGAAAATCGAAGAAAAGCCGCAGTTGGAATACAGAACAGCAGCAGCAGAAAGACAGGAACCTGCAGTCCCATAGAGAGCCTCTTCTCTGTGTCCCACCAACACGCGGACAGCACTATCACCCCAAACCCCCAGATTACGCCCCGACTCTACACCGGCTAAAAACCAGCACGCAGCAGCCTGGCAGCAAATGAAGCGTGCAGGAAACAAAAAACAAACAAAAAAACTAAAAGGCTGAGAGAGCTTTTTGGATCAGATGGAAGTTGGTTCTGGTCGAGGTGGGTGTACCTGCTGGGCCTCAGGACTCCTCTGTACGGGATGCGGGCCACACGGGTCACTGGGCCCAGAGAGTGATAGAACCGAGTCCTGTTCAGAAATTGGATAAGATAGGACAGGATAGGATATGGGGCACGGGTCACTGTTAATCTGTGTGTGGGTTTTATTTTATTTATTTATTTTTTTCCCGTTCAAACTGCAACAGGTTAGCTCTGAATGAGGAGCGGTCAGTTAGTTATAGGACTTAAAGATGGATGTGAGGTACTTTCAAAACAAAAGAAAAACAATGGTGCTTTGGGAAAAAGAGGTTAGGATGATTCTTCAGGCTTGTGGATTTAAAAAAAAAAAAATTATTATTCCTGATCAGGTCAGTGTGGCTCCGTACGCTTCACACGCACGCGGACACACACACAGGGGCATTAGTAAAAGGATTTATCGAAGCACAGAAATGCATTTTTAGGCTGCCGGAGGAGCAGTAGCGTCTGCATATCGTCGCTCGGTTTTGAGAGCAGGAGTAGCGGGGTGAGGCGTGACGGCCTGAAAGCAAACGCTGGGAAGATTTATTGCAGTTTATTTGCACAGGCTTTCTTTAAAAAATAAAAAATAAATAAAAAACAGACATGTGATCACAACGATGAAAGTGTTTTTTATGATCTGCACGGTAACCTGCAGAAATGGGATGCATTACCTCTCAAAAGCTGGCCAAGACATCTCTTCACTGAGCTCGGAGCCCTCACTGCTCCCTGTACCAGGGACAGAAACCATAAGGTGAATGTCACCGTGATGCAACCTGGCTACCGCTATGGCTTTTCTCATCGACGTTGCGGAGGCTTCTGTCTCACCGAGCGAAATGCCACTGGACAGAGTTGAGCTCTCTGCCTGTCCCCTGCTGGGACTGTGGCTCTCCAACACACTGTCATCCAGCAGATGACGGGAGCCAGCGTTGGGAAATGTGGCGCTTTTAAACTCTACTGTGTTCATCTTATGGATAAAACTGAGGAGACACAACACAGCAGAGAGGAGGGACATAAAGGGAGCTGCCAGCACTGCTGTAGGATAGAAGGAGAAAAAAAAAACCCCAAAAAAACCTTCGCTTCTCGCTTTCTAGCTGACTTAAAGCCATGATTGAGGGGGGAAGCATGGGGGGGGGGGGGGGAAATTAATAAATAAATGAATGAATAACATAAATATGTGAATGAATAAATGGATGAAAGAATCGATGAGTGACGACAAAAGTCAGACTGACTTGTAACCCAGGCTGTGGCACTTCCTGTGTCCGTAGGGCAGCAGGTTCCTGGGGGACGGAGGAGTGGCGGGGACGTCGGCCGCTACGGACCCCTTACGACCGCAGAGAGGGGAGGACGACGCTTCCTGACCTGTTAGAAAAAACAAACAAAAAAAAAACAAAAAAAAAAAAAACACACAAAAAAATAGACAATTACAAAAGCAGAAGAGAGATCCAAAAACTCTGACTTACCAACCAGATCCTCTTTGGAGGCGTTGGCTCGAGGGGTGCTGGTGCCTGGCTCGATCTTCTGAGACAACCTGGGCGGAAACCGTGAAATTAGTCGCTTCCTTTAAGTTAAAAGTGAGGCGAGTAGTGATTGTCATTGCAACAACAGAGAGCAAGAAACCAAATCAGATTAGCACTGTGAAGTATTTCGGTGCCTCAGTGGAAGAAAGTTGCTTCAGTTAAATAACCAGCATAACAATTAAAATGTGCATAAAAACTTTTTCGGGGGAGAAAAGCATGATACTGCCACCACCGTGTCTGAGATGGTGCTCTGGGCTGTTCGTGGCAACTCCTTTTCAAATACGACTTTCAATGAATATGTCGCATACAAGCGTAGTAGAATGTGTTTAGGAGTATTTTCACTGCAAAACTGTTCTTGATTCTACATGAACGGTTCCTTGAAACGGCATAAATGTAAAGATATTAGAAGCTGCATTTTAATGATGAGGCAGAAAACGACAAATATCAGTTCATTAGAACTTTTTCATTCCTCTTTACATATTACAGTTACCAACATGTGATGTGCGGCTTGCTTAAAAATACAAGCAGCTCTTATGGAGACGTGAAAACCCCTGAGATGTCCCTCTGAGAAGAACTTTACTAATTCAGTGTTTTTTTGTTTTTTTTTCTTATCTTTACTGACTATGCAAATATATTTGGGGTCTTTATTGTCACAGTCCAGTTGTTTTAAACTGTTAAATGTTTGTAGCTGTGACTAAATTTAGGTCAATAATTCATTTTTTGACTCATGGAGATTTCCACACATGATGCACACATGACATCGCTATATCTCAACAAATCTTTTAGAAAGTTGCAGTTTTAATTACATATTTTTTTGGTGCTTAATAAGTGAGTGACTGAGCCCTTTAACACATTCATCATCTGTTTCTTACTTGTAATTTTCATCCTCCACAAACTTCTGCAGCTCCTCGATGTACCTGACGGAGTTCAAATACTTCTGGATGTGAGGCAACACTGGGATATCTGAGAGAGGAGACGCATTCATGCGCCAGAGCAGAAACATGAGTGAATTAATTCAATTTACAACAAAGCAATCAGAAAAACGTCAAAATCCACACACTCACCCAAAAAGCTACAATTTCCAGACTACTTCCTCTTTTAATCCAAAAATACTGATTTAAAACAATGATTTATTCTTCTTTTCTTCTTTATTTCTCATAGAGGAATAGCTCAAAAGTTGTACTATGCCAGTGTTTGTTTTAATATTGACGCTATTCATCCTATGGGACTTTGTGGAATAAAAAACTGGCTGAAATATAAGCGATACCGGCACAGTCTTCCCTCTTGGGGAACAGGAAATGAAGCAAAGAGGCTGCGATTCTTGTTCCTCATCTTTTTACCCCATTCTTTATTTTTTTTTAATCCTTGGTGTTTTGAATTTTCAAATAAAAAATGCATAATGTCCACTTTAATAGACAAAAAGGTGTTTTAATTTTCTCTAAATCATATTAATTTAAAACTGCCAATAGCTGTTAAATGACATGAGATATCTATGTGTTTTTATCTATAGTCATGTATTAGAAAATACGAGCAAAATATTCCTCAGTTGATCCGACAGCTGGATATTCTGGCTCATCACTGGGCGTCCAGTAGGGGGCAGCAAACAGGGCGGCTCGTGTCTAATCAAGTAGCTTACACTCCCAGTATACCCAGTTGGGCTGCAGAAGGATTGAACATTTAATGTCCGTAGGTACTTACATTTAAAGAGAATTTTGAAAGTATTCAACTTTGGAGGCTTTCCATGAGAATTAATTTATTTAAAGACACTGGATCATATTAAAACATTTGTGTTTTGTCCTTGGTTAATAAGTTCAACATCAGTATCTGTTGTTACTATTGTTGTTTTTAGTCTTTATTACAGCGTCCGAGTGTCTTGAAAAGCACCTTATAAATAAAATGTTTGATTATTATTATTATATGTAAAAAATATGAATCTTATAAAATCTGCAAAATTTAATTAATGCATGTAGTTCATGAACCAAAATGTGTGTTTAGAACAAGTGTTGAACTCTGAGCTGCAGTTATAGTGAATGCATTTGTGGCCTAAATATCTCCGCAGTCAGCAGTGCGATACGAGCGTCTCGTTTAGGAAAAGCATCTAATATTCAAGGGTAAATACAGAAAATCCTGCTTGCAAGATTTGTCAGAATCTTGAAGAAAATTCAAGATTCTTGTGAAACAGATCTTCCCTGAGCACAAGCTGCCACAATAAATCCTCTTAAATTCCAAGTTTATCGCCGTTTATTTCCAAACAAATCCGTTCTAATTCCTGTGAATTCCAGTTAATCTTCTTTTGAACGCTTAAAACTTTTTGAACATGGCTGAAATATTGCCACGAGCATCGATGAAAACTACTTCTGCGATCTTGTGAGCGCGTCTCACCATAGGTGCAGGATCTCTGCAGGTCCGATATGATTCGGAAGATGTTGTTCATCAGGTTGGACCTCTGCTCGTTCTCCAATATGCTGCCTGTGGACGGGTAGGCCGAGTCGATGTAGGTCAGGTCGGACAGGTACATCCCTGGAAGGAGGAGGAGGAAGAAGAAGAAGAGATGTTTTATTGGGAGATCAACGGTGAACACGCCTGGGTACGGCCCGACGGGACGACGTAACACAACATCTCTAGGTCCACTCATTCAGGTGCGTTTGGTGTAAAACCAGCAGGCGTCTTCACACTATTTGAGTCGACATGTGTTGGATGACCACAAACAAAACAGGCTTTTTGAACAAGCGTCACTCCAGTATAAGCAGACGATGACAGATCTTGTTTTTTTGGCAGTCACTTAGAGCACAAGTTAAAGGTTTATCGCATAAATGATAACTTTAGGGGACAAACACAGGAGCCACTTCCCGCCGCGCTGGGAGACCTGTGAACAATGAGCACATTTCAGGAGCAGTCTGATGGGGTCGTTTTTCTTACTCTCTTGTCTTGCTCAATGGCTCTTTCACACGCCAGGCCAGAGATTGAACGCAGATGTGCAAAGTTCATCACTTAGCAGATGAGAGAAGAAAACCTTCAGCTGCTTATCCTCCCCGAGAACAGAGCTGCTCTCAGATGCTTGGACAAGCTAATGGCCGAAGTCCAGGACCAGAAACCAAAACAAAGATGTGCACAAGTGTTAAGTGGAAGAAAAAAAAAGTTTCCTTGTGCATCAGATTTTTCTATTCACACCTTTAATTTTGTAAGAGGAATAGCCGCAAGAACATCATAAGGAGTCCGTGTGTAAAAGTTGCAACAACCTAGGCTTGGACAACAAGGCTGAAAATCGCGACGTCAGCGTTTATTACCGAGATAATTATTGATTTTTTTTTTAAATATCTGAAATACCTCATATCTAGTTTCACTCCACGCCGTTGTTTTTATTTTTAAGCAGTTATGAGGCACGATGGCGAAACCTTAAACTGCCTCTGCGCCTCTTACTCAACAGGTTGTTGCCAGGCAACTAAAGAGCGAGCGAGTTAGCTGATGCTACCAACCTTAATCAGGTTTCTGTGAGAGTTTAGAGCGGCTAAAGTCTGTCCTCTGCCTGCATGCCCCAGAATGCCGAGCGGCTTTGCATCAGTGGAATTATTGAACATTTTATCAGACGTATCATCTATTGACATTGATCGGTCGTCTATCGCAACAAATATTGTTATTGGAAACAATTTCAGCAGGACAACAAACCTGAAGACGCATCCAGAGCTACAGGGGAACAAAACATTCATACGTCACAATGGCCCAGTCAAAGACCAGGACGAAATGCAATTGAGAACATTTGACAAAACCTACTGATGTTCACAGACACTGCCGATGCAGTCCGAGATTGAGGTGGTTTATGAAGAAGAATGAGTCAAAATGTACACACATGGGAGCTAAATACAAACGCATGCTTCACTTTATAGATTTCTATTTGTAAACCATTTTGTGAAGCATAAACCGTGAATGAAATGATGATGATGTACTTAGTCTGTGTTGGTCTGTGACATAAAATCCCCCTCCAAAAATAAATCAAAGATTTTAAGCTACAGAGGTGTGAATACTTTTACAACACGTTCATGTTCATCGGTCAAAGCTGAAAGCAGAACAGAACCGTGTTAAATAAACTCGGATAAAGAAAAGGGAGGGAAAGTGAGAATCAGTTTACAGGAATTTGGAGGCTCAAGCCGGGAATGTGAGAGACGGACAGGGGAGGAGGGAAAGGATCCCGGAGGCTTAGCTGCTATAGCTGCTTTCTGTGAGCAGCAGCTGGCTGGAACAGCAGCACAGCGTACACTCGTGTTCAGGGAACCTGTGGTTAGGATGGTTGTTATGCGCGTTCACATGCGCCGAAGCCAAGAGGATCAATAAAGGTCAGAGAAGTGAGGCGGTTAAGCACAAACTCCTTCCCCCCTCCGTCCTCCTCTGTGTGTCTGAGTTTGCCGTTTAAAAGAGGATAAATCCACTATTCCTTTTCCTAGGAACATGACAGAGGTGATAAAAACAAAACAAGCTGTCAACAAGTCTCAGGCAACACCTGGAGCGAGCGTTCTGCCGGCACAGCGCCACAAATCAGTTTTATCTGGCCGCTTGCGTCCAGCTGTTCTCGACAGGAAGGCGCCCGAAGACGACCCCGGCGGCATAACAAGCAGGCCCTGTGGTTGCTACAGAAGACGGCTACGAAACAAGAGGACGACACGCTCGGGGGTCGTACACTTGTAAAAGTGTAAATGCAATTTCAAGGTACGTTTTCAAACTTTTCCAGCACCACGTTTTGGATGAAAAGAAAGACTATTTCAATTCATTATTTACACCATGGATGTGGGCGTTCTGGAGGATGGATGGGTGGGTGGATGACAATATGCTGCTGATTAAATATAATCGGAGTTTTCCAAAATGGATTTGAAACATTACGGCCTATAATAGGCCAAATTATATTAACTACATTGCTGTCATTCAAATGCAAAAAACATTAAACTTGTTTTCTACAGGCTTGAACTAAAAATGCATTTGACTTCATTTTCCTTATGTACCTTTCTTTAAATTTTTCATTCCCTCTACTTCGTACTGTTGTCAAGTTTTCCTTCACTTCTGAGAGGAGCGAAGTGCACAGTAGCCATCTTCGCATATGTAAAGCCTTGTATGCTTTTCATTGTCAACATGAACGTAAATAAAAAAAGAAACTTAATTCTGAAGGCGTGACAGATTTCATTTTGGCTTAATGTCTTGTGATGGTATTCAACAGCAGGAACAAGTTAAAATAAAATATAATTTTATGTTTTGAAATGTTGGGACCTGATTGGTCCAAGAACAACACACTGATTTAAAGAAAATTCAATAATGCTGTTTAATATATAAAATACAATCCACACACATAAGACACCATTGAGCCATTGCAAATGATAAGCATTCATTACATTGAAACAAAGCAAACAAATTTTGCTAGAGTGACTTTACTACTAAAAATATGTTTAAAAATAATAAAAAGCAAGCAAAAATAAAATGAAATCTAAAAAAACAAATGTTAAATGTCCTGGCATTTCATAAATAGAAATAATTTTGAATTTTGTAACTGAAAACAAAAAAAAAAAAAAAAGACCGTGAGAAAAAGTCTCTTTTTATTAGGTGTATGAAAATATCTGGTTTCATCTGAAAGTAATGTTTTCCAAATTTAGGCTTGTTATCAAACGCCAGATTGCACTTTATTACCAAACTGTACATTTTGAATATCAATCACTTTCAAGGACTTGAAGCAGAAACTAATAACTTTCTAAAACTTCCAGAACACCTCATTGAAATTCCAGCCTTTTCCAGGGATTTCAGGCACCTGTACGAATCCCGCATCCAAGACCAAACGTGACTCGTTCCTGCTGCTCAAAACTCGGCCAACAGCCTGACAGGCCTGCAGTGTTTTAATCATTTCAAGTCACTTGCATAACAAGAGAAGCCCGACTGACATTGCTAAAGAAGCAAAGTTTAATGAAGCACCTCTTTGATTCTGCTTTATGGGTTTCTTTTCCTCAGTGACATCAGAGGGAGGCCGAACAACTCGTAAAAAAAAATAAACCGAGGAAGGGAGAGAGAGAGAGAGAGAGAAAGAGAGAGAGAGAAAACACAAGCAAACCCCTCACAGCCCTCCCTCTCCGACATCCCCCCCTCATCCTTTGTGAAAAGCTCAAGGCATCAGCGGTTGGAGCTCAGTCCGATGAAGAGGCTGGCTTTTGAACCATGCCCCCAGCCTGAGCCCCGGGACAGCCGAAGCTTTGAGGAAGCAAGGCCTGCGCTAAAAGGCTGGCGGCTTGCTGCTAACGCACGGGACGGAAGGGGCGAGTGAGGGGGGGGGAGCGGCTCAAACCACAAGGACAAAGACACGAAAAAAAAAAAAAGATGATTCCTGAGCAGCGCAACTCAATGAAACCTCAACACGACAGGCAGGCTAAACTATAACCGGAGAAAACCAGCACCGACCCCACGACTGGTGTCAAAGCAGGTAAAAGTTGCAGAAGTTTGTTGTGGGAATTGAGTGTGAATGAGTGTGTGTATGCGTGTGTGTGTATGTGTGCAGAGGTCTTGTGACTGGAGGCTGCAGCTGCAGACAGATATTTAGCAGTACTGCTTCTCCTTTCCACTAGAGTCTGTAGTATTCTGTAAGCAAAGATGTGCAACACTGAGGATACTGGAGGAGATTTCAAAAAAAGTTAAAAACCCTTTTATGGATAAGTCTGGAAAGAAAGGGAGGGAACGGCAAGAGCAATGCATTCCAGAAACTCTCGCAAATGATGCTGATATGATCAGATGGAAAGATCAGATCACTTGCAGCAGGGATTGTTTTTCGTTATGGTTTTTGGAAGGTTGTAATGCAGCAGAGGTCTGACTCTAAGAGAGGATAGTTTGCATAGTGAAGGTCCCGTCCAGTCAGACATACAGATACGTACTGCAGCTTCCAAAATCTGGCACATCGGAAGCACAAGGACACAGCAATTCACACCCCATGGATGAAAGACACTTCAATCGCAAACTCTGGCTTCTCAGAAAAAGCTTTGAAGACCAACTACATCAATCTGGTGTTTCCACATCTTACAAATGTGGAAACACATTTGTGGAAACACTCACTCGCAAGGGTGAATCTTCAAATGTTCCCACCGACTTCCTGCTGCGATGGTTGGAGACATCATCTGCGAGCCCCAGACCCGACGACAAGCGACGCACGGTGGCCAGCAGGAAGAGGCCCGAGAAAATATTTCATAAGCTTCCTTGGTTTTCCTTCGCAGCAATAAATCCCAATATCAGTAACTCCAATAACTCGGGCTGAAGCAGAGAAGAAAAAGATAAAGAGGAGGTCGTAGGCATGGCCAGGACATTCCGTGCTGAAGCGCCAGAGAGCTTGGCCCCGGCGTTCATCGGGACCTTGAGGAGGAAGGAGGCAGCGTGGCTTTCAACGGGTCATTAGTATCCAACCAAACATCAACTATTGTCTTAACCTTCCACCTCTGCTTGATGTCGCTTCTGTGTAACGCTTTGGAAACTTCCCCTATAAACGGCAGTCAGGTAGGATGTTCTGT